GACCACATCTAGAATAATTAGAACAGTTTTGGTCATCTAATCAAAGAAAAGATACACTGACATTGGAACTAGTTCTGAGCAAGTTCACTCGGTTGCTGCTGGGTGTGGACGGAACGTCTTCTGAGGAAAGGTTGAGTAGGTTGAGCTTGTACTCAGTGTAGACTAGAAGCCACTTCAACTCCCCCTTCCACTCCCTGGACGGCATGTCCATCCTGGGCCTCCTCAAGTGTCACAACGATGCCATTCGGAAACTGGAGGAACAGCACCTCATATTCCGCCTTGGAACCCTACAACCCAATTGTCTCACTATGGACGTTACCAACTTCAAAGTCTCCCCACCCCCGACCTCATCCTAGGACCAGCCCCACCTCTCGTCCCCGCCTCCTTGGCCTGTCCATCTTCTCTCCCACCTCACTGACCAACGCCCACCCCCACTTCCTACCTACACTCATCTCTACTAGCTTCACCCCGCCTCCTTGACCTGTCCGTCTTCTCTCCCCCTATCTGCTCCACTATCCACCTTTTATCACCGCCCCCCACTATTTATTTCAGAGCCCCCTTCCCCTCCCCCATTTCTGAAGAAGGGTCCAGGCCCGAAACGTCAGCTTTCCTGCTCTTCTGATGCTGTCTGGCCTGCTGTGTTTCCTCCAGCTCCACACCTTGTTATCACCGGGAAGTTGCCTAGCCTGAAGTAATTTAAGTTTGAAGAGTCACTGGACAGGCTGGGGCAGTTTTCCTTAGAGAAGGGAAGACTGACGGTGAACCTGACAGTTGTATATAGTTATGAGGGGCATTGTTGACGTCGATAGAGAGAAACATTTTCCCTGAGTAGAGCAGTCAATACTTTTAAGGTAAGGAGCAGAAGGTTCAGAGTGAATTTGAGATGGTGGTGAGCAACTGGAACTCATTTCATGTAGGAGCATTAAAAAGGTTGATCTCTCCGGACATTGAAGAACTATTTCGTAGAGGCTCCCCACTTGGTACTCCAGCCCCGCCCCTCATTCATTCCCAGTTGGTCCTCCAAGCCCGCCCCCTACTTTTTTATTGGTCCGGAGCTGCAGTCGATCGGCGGGGTCCTATTGTGAGCTGGAGCATGCTCTATGGCAGCCCCGCTGATGGACTCCGATTGAGCCCGTGGTTTAGTTGCCTAGATCCAGAAACACACAGAGACGAGAAGACTGTGAAACCTACTTTTACGGCTTTTAATCTGGGAGTAGCTTCTCAGGGTACATCTCGCGAGTTAACAGCCGCCATCCTGAACATAGTCAGAAGTCACAGGACACCAGGTTATAGTCCTTGTCATTTCAAATAAACCTATTCCGGGACTATAACCTGATGTCGTGTGACTAGTGACTTTGTCTACCCAATCCAAGACCAGCACCTCCACATCATCTTCAACATGAGCTGGTGAACAACACCGGGACAACTGATTCCACCCCTCGTTCACTTACATTGGTTGGAGCACTGTCGACATTCGTTTGGTCCTATAACCCGACTCCGCCCCACACTATTGGTCGACCAGTCACGCAGCTGGTTTGAAGGAGAGTTGCTGAACATCAGCTAGTGCATGCTATAAGCGTGTTTTACACAGTTTGATTCTCGGATGGACCTTACCGTGCAAAGTTTTGTTTTGCGAGCAGTACAGATAGATCATAACAAACAAGGACAGACAGCTCATAGGCAGAGCGAAGCATACAAGGTTACAGTTGAAATAGGAGGGGTCCGTTTCGCGGGGGGGAGGGAACACAATTCATGTATACAAAAATATGAAGGGCAGGGACAGGGAGAAACATTTCCTCTTAATGGAGGGATCAATAGAATCAGCGTAAAGAGCAGAAGGGTTAGGACAGTATTTAAGGAAGAATGTTTTCACCCAGTGAGTGGTGGGGTATCTGGAACTCACTGACTGAAAGATTGGTAGAGATGGGTACCATGTAAAACATTAAAGTATTCAGATGGTCACTTGAAGCATCAGAACACACAAGGCTTTGCACCAAGTGCTGGACAATAGGACAACAGTAGATAGTTGCTTGATGTAGATCAGCCAAAGAGCAGCAGTTATGCTTTAAACCTCTATGACTCTGCGAGAGAAGGAAAGTTTATGTTTTGTATTGAATTTCATTCTTCTTTGGAAAGCATAAGGTAATACTACTTTTTCAGAAGGAATATGGAGAGTGAATGTATCCTGAATGGCACAGATTGAAAGGCATGCAGGTACAGGGAGACCTAGGTGCTAAGGTGAAAAACCCTTAAAAAGTGACAGGACATATCAAGAGAACATTTAGAGAAATATGCAGGATCCTGTGCTTCAGGATTAGAGGTAATCAGATCAAACTCTGGGAAAGATGCAGAAATAGAAATCATAGAATCCCTACAGCGTGGAAAGAGGCCAATCGGCCCAAAAAGTCCACAGTAACCCTCCGAACAGCATCCCACCCAGACTTATCCCCTTCCCTGTAACCCTGTATTTCCCATGCTAAACAACCTTACACACCCCTGGACACTACAGGCAATTTAGCATGGCCAATCCACCTAACCTGCACATCTTTGGTCTGTGGGAGGAAAAAGGAGCACCCAGAGGAAACCCACACAGACACCATGAGAATGTGCAAACTCCACACAGTCAGCCGAGGGTAGAATCAAACCCGGGTCCCTGGTGCTGTGAGGCAGCAGTGCTAACCACTGAGCCACCATGCCACCCACTTTATAAGGATCTGCTTCGGTCACAACTGTGCCCACTTTTGGTTACTAGATGAATCCTGGAAAACAAAAGGACATTTAGATATAAGATTTAGCTTGGAGAAGGTGGAATTGTTCTCCTTGAAGAAAAGGTGTTGACGGAACATTGGATAGAGATGTACATAATTATAAGAGGTTTAGGTAAGGGAAACAAAGCAAAAGCGGTTTCCAAATGTGAAAATGTTGCGAAAAAGATAGATGAGCAAGAGTTTTTTTAAATGCAGTGACTGATAGTATGCAGAACAAGCTGCTTGTGAGAGTGATTCAAGTGCAGATGATGAATGCACAAAAAAGGAAATCAGATCAGTCAGCTTGCATGGCTTTCAGAACAGAGTAGGGAACGAGATAGACTGGGTTGTTCTCCAGAGACACAACTTGTTTCTGGTCCATAATGAATCCCTTGTGCATTTTTTAACATGTGCTGATAATATAAATGTGGAATCCTGTATCACTTTTGTAAATACACTCTGCACTCCATGAAAGGCCAAAAAGTTTTACACTTCCTCGTCCTTGTGACTTGAGTAACAGGTCGTGTTGTGATGTTTGTTTTGAGCTTCCCGTCTATGAATCCTGTTCTACTGTTCTGTAAAAGGTGCCTACAACATATGTCAATGTTAGCCCAGGATAGAAATTCAGAATGAACAAATGTTTATGATTTCAGTTTGTGTATAAATCCTCACCTTCCAATCTCATGTTAAAGGAGTTTCACGATCAACTCTGATGGTGAGGGATTTGAAATTCAGAAATCACAAACATGGTTTGAACTTGCTGTATGTGCGTGTCAACCTATTTCTTTTGACTCCAAAGGAAGGTTGTGTGCATGCCCTATTCCACATTACCCCTCATAAAAACGGTGGTCACACATGCATCTCACAGAATATTGACCCCAGTAACGATAGCGGAGGTAACCTGGACCCTTCACTGCCTGAGGAGGGCAGCCGTTTTCCTGTATGCTGGAAATACAGGACCAGGAGTTTCTAATTCGGGCATGGCAGGGTGTACTGGGTGTTTATGAAACCTTCTATTTCACACTGACTCCAATTTGCTGTCACCTCTCCATCATTTTCTTAGTCTTCGGTTTCAGCCTCAGGATGCATGCAGGGAAGGATTGTCACATGGCGGAAACTAGCCCCCACCCTTAATTCACACGCAATGGTGCAAGAACTAGCTCCGTCCCCACTTATGAAACTCATCAGAACATATAGAACATAAAACAGTACAGCACAGTACAGGCCCTTCGGCCCACGATGTTGTGCCGAACTTTTACCCTGATCCTAAGGTCTATCTAACCTCCAACCCTTATACTATCATCCATATGCCTATCTAATAGCCGCTTAAATGCCCCTAATGAGGCCGATTCCACTACCCTCTCCGACCACACGCCTACCTCTGACATCTCCCCAATATCTACCTCCACTCACTTTAAAACTATGCCCCCTCATAATAGCTACCTCCACCCTATGAAAAAGTCTCTGGATGTCCACTCTATCTATACCTCTGATCATTTTGTACACCTCTATCAAAGTTACCTCTTGCCTTTGTCGTTCGAAAGAGAAAAGCCCTAGCGCTCTCAACCTTTCTTCGTAAGACCTTCCCTCCATTCCAGGCAGCATCCTGGTAAATCGCCTCTGCACCTGTTCCAACATTTTTCCTGTAATGAGGTGACCAGAACTGGACACAATACTCCAGATGTGGCCGAACCAGGCTTTTGTATAGCTGGAGCATAACTTCACTGCTCTTAAACTCAATCCCTCTATTAATGAAAGCTAACACACCATACGCCTTCTTAACAACTCTATCCAAGTGGCAGCTTTCAGGGAACTGTGGACATGAACCCCAAGATCCCTCTGCTCCTCCACACTGCCAAGAATCTTTCCATTAACCCTGTATTCTGATTTCAAGTTTGTCCTTCCAAAATGAATCACCTCACACTTTTCAGGGTTAAATGTTATCTGTCACTTCTCAGCTCAGCTCTGCATCCTATCAACGTCCCTTTGTAACCTAGAACAGCCCTCCGCACTATCCACAACTTGACCCACCTTTGTATCATCCGCGAACTTACTAATCCACCCTTCCACTCTTTCATCCAAATCATTTACAAAAATCACAAATTGAAGAGGATTCAGAACAGATCCTTGTGGTACACCATTGTGAGTCACAGTTCTAAACTGCAGAAAAGACTGCTAGCCCTTAGTAAATAAAGGGTGACTAGGCAACGGGACCCAAACTCTGTGCAGTTATTTTACAAAGACAGCAAAATATTTTGTTATTTAATCCACCATTTCCTTGTTATTTACTAATAACATCCCATTTTCATTATCAATAAAATCAACACTCACTCACTCTTTTCCTTTTATAATGCTTGTAGGAAGCTTTGCTTACATTTCTATTTCAATTATTACTGCCTGTTTCAGTTAATCTCCTCTTTAAAAGAAAAAAGACCATCAACCCTTCGTTTTCAGGCCATTCACAGAGTCAGAGTGGTCTCAGCACATGTAGACACCTTACAGTCCATCGGAATTTCTCCCTGGATCTTTCACCACCGCCCACTAAGCAGATTGTAATTTAATCTTGCCCTTTTAACAGGAGAGTTATATTTTACCACTTGCTTGGTGGACTCTATTCTGTGGTTTCTGACAAAATAAAGTTGATTACCTTTAATAGAACAAATGGATGTTGTGGCTATTTTTAACCAGCTAGAAACTTCACCTCTGCAGGCTAAAGTTTTTGATACCATCAGTAAATGCAGTATGAAACAGCATTGAGCCTTGAACAAGCTGCTATTTCAAAATTCTATACTTTAAATGCAGTTGAGATTAACATTGTTGGAGGTGTGTAATCAAGCCTCCATGGGGGTCGGGGTAGTGGCAGGCAGTAACCACCAGACTTGCACTGCAGATAAACAAAACAACTAGGACCCATCTCTAAGGTTAGGACAGCTTCTTGTGGGTAGTGTAAGTTGCAGTCCTCTTATGTGAGGGAATTATCAGACAAATTCTGTCTTTATGGGTATGTTGCACAACAGTTTCACAATGCAGTCTCAGCAAAGGGTATATGAAATGCTGATTCTCTGGCTGACTTTGACTTCAGAGGAACCATGATGGATTACTGTTAATTCAAATAATGTGATTATAGCAGCTATCCTTATTGGACAGTTCACAAACAGTCATTGCACATACATGTGGATATGTACTAAAGGTTATTTTAAACCAATTTGTAACAATAAATATTAGGAAAAGCAAATGACCCAACACTGATCCCTGGCAAACTCCACTACAAAGTTTCCTCCTGCCTTTAAAATATTGATTCATCACAATGCTCTGCTTCCTGTCAATCAGTCAAATCTACATTGTTGCTGTTACTATCTATTTTACTCCATGAGTTCTAACTTCGCTCACAAGTCTATTGTGTGGCACTCTGGCAAATGCTTTTTGGAACTTCATATACACCACATCAACAGCATAGGGGTGATCAATCTTTTCTGTTATCTCTTTGAAAACTCTAGGAAGTTAGTGAGAAATAATATTCCCTTAAAATTACATCGGCTCTTCTCAAATAACCGGCAGTTGTCCATGTAAGAATTTCTTAAACTCAAATTATTGTTTCTAAATTTCCCAACCACTAGAGCTAAGCTGATTTAACCACAGTGTAATGTTTATAAATCCCTAATTCTCTAGCATCATTAATAAGTGTCAACACTGAAAAATACATTTGACAACAGACTCTGCAATTTCCCCTCTCATACCCCTGAGTATCCTCGGATGCATCTTCTACATTCTCAGTTGATAATTAACTTTAAGAATAGACAACATTCCATACCACCTCCTTATTAATCAATAATCACGCAAGTGTCAGATTTAGCAGCAACATCCAAAGGCTGTAGTTTCTTTTCAACTCGCTGGTGTTTCAACAAATGGGATAACTGAGGGAATCTCTTCCCACACTGGGAACAAGGGAATGACCTCTTCCCAGTGTGAATTCGTTGGTGGACAGTGAGTTGAGATGATCGCTTGAACCGAGTCCCACAGTGAGAGCATCTAAATGGTCTTTCATCAGTGTGAACACGTTGATGGGACATCAGGTCCCCAGAACTTTTATAGCTCTTTCCACAGACTGGGCACTTAAAAGGTCTGTCTTCATTGTGAACATGCTGGTGTCTCAGCAGGTCGGAGGAGACAGTGAATCCCCTTCCACACTCGGAACAGGTAAATGGCCTCTCTCCTGTGTGAACTCGCCGGTGTGACAGCAGACTGGATAACTGAGTGAATCCTTTCCCACACTCAGAGCAAATGAATGGCCTCTCACCAGTGTGAACTCGTTGGTGTTTTAGCAGGTTGGATGAGTGAGTGAATCCTTTCCCGCACTCAGAGCAGGTAAATGGTCTCTCCCCAGTGTGAACACGGTGATGTTCCAGCAGGTGGGTTGACTGAGTGAATCCTTTCCCACACTGAGAGCAGGTAAATGGTCTCTCCCCGGTGTGAACTCGCTGGTGTTTCAGGAGATGAGTTGATTGAGTGAATCCTTTCCCACATTTGGTGCAGGTAAATGGCCTCTCTCCAGTGTGACTGCGCCGGTGCATTTCCAACTTTGAAGGTGATTTAAATCCCTTCCCACAGTCTCCGCATTTCCACGGTTTCTCCCCAGCATGGCTGCACTTGTGTTTTGATAGACCAGATGATTGGCTGAAACCTCGTCCACACATAGAACACATGTATGGTTTCTCCCCACTGTGAGTGGTGCTTTTTCTTTCCATGTTCACCATCCAAGGATATTCAGGTTTTGATAAATTGGATAACTCTCTCAGACCCTGATGTGATGTTTGGTTTCAGTCTCCGAACTTTAAAGATCTCGTTTTAATACCCTGTGAAACTGATTCAAACAGAAAGAGTGAGTGAGATGAAGCCACAAAAACACAAAGGCAGGTTGTAAAGTTGACCTGAATGAAACTGACAATTTGTGAGGCCAGCCTTGGAAAAAAGTGACCAGAATAGCTGCTGAATTATGATAAAAACCCAAATGATTCATGAAGATCCATGAGGGGAAGGGACTTTCCAAACAGTCTGGTCTTACACAAGAATATGGAGACTCTGGGAGGAGATGGAGAGAGGGATAGAAAGGATGGATCTTACACATCTACAACATGATCAGAACTTTGACAGAACATCCCAAACTCCCAATGTCCACCATCTAGAAGGACCAGAACGCAGTTGTACGTGAACACCATTATCTCCAAGTCACACAACATCTTGACTTGTTTGACATCCATTACCCGATGAGCAGAAATTTCCAATATTTAATGATTGGGAAGTCTGAAGCCATTGATATCAGTCCCTGCTCAAAAATCCACTGCCTCAACAGGAACTCCATCCCTCATTTGGGCAACTCTCTGAAGCTGAACCAGACTGTTCATAACCAATGTGAAATATTTCACCCCAAGATGAGCTTCCAACCACATATCTCCATCATCACCTCAGTAATATCATCTGACTTCATTAGTATCAGCTCATCCATTGCTGGAACTCTCATCCATTCTTTTCTTACCTCTCAACTATGTTACCACACTCTCAGCAGGCATCACACTTTGAGCTGTTCTGTAATCTCGAGTGCATCCAAATTTCTGCTGCTTGTGTGCAGACTCACACCAAACCTAGTTCACCCATGATTCCTGTGTTTAGGATAAAGGCTGCTGTTTAAGAAGCACCAACATTTATACATTGTTGTTCTCATTTCTCTTCTTGGTTATGATCATATCTGTTTCTGTGTTCTCTTCCAATCAAAAGACCTTAGAAATTCAGTTTTTTAAAAGTATTGGAATTTATCAAGGTAAAATTAGATCAATTTTTGGTGTACGGACATCAACTGAAATGACAGCAAGCTGGAAAGTGGGATTAAGACCACAACCAGATTTTGGACGATTTTATTGAATGGAAGAGCAGGTTTGGTGGGCCATAATGTCTGGTCCTGCTCTGAATTCTTACACTCCTATCTCTGCAACTCAACTAATTCCGCCTGGTCTAGCATTCCTGATGTGCATTGCTCCAAACTTGGTGGCCTTCTTTCACCTGCCAATGCCATAGATTCTGGAATTTCCTCCCTAAATGTCTTTTGCTCCCCACCTCATTATCATTCCTTGAAGCATTCCGTGAAGCCAATCTTTTACTCCAATATGTTATTCACCCTCCTCAATATCTGCCTCTGTTTCTCAGTGCCAAATGTTGTTTTGCAACAATCCTGTGAAATGAGTTGCAATATTTTGTTACGTGAACAATGCATTGTAAATATAAACTAGTGACACAGACCTGGACATGGCTACAATACACCTATTATTACAGACAGAGTAGCTAGACAATGGTGGAGAGATAATCAGGGAGAACAGAGGTGAAACAGAGTAATGAACGGACATGGATTCAGATCCACAATAACAAAGTCACACCAGCCCAGAGTCATGGAACTTATCAGGGATAACAGACCACAACACTAAATCTACCACATAGTAGTTGAACGGTCAAAAATACACTCCTCTGAAACCAATTCAGTTTTCAATTTTGGAACCTCCTGCTGGAGTCTGCAGCTGGACGGATATCAGAAACACTGGAGTCAGAGAAAAATCTCACAGTTGAGGAAAGCCTCGCAGAGGGGGTGATGTCACTGTGCAATTGTTGCTGCGTGATGACATCACTGTGAATGTTAGCCCCTGAAGGATGAGACTGGGGAGTTAATAGTTGGGAACACAGAAATAACAGAGACACTGAATCAAATATTTTGCCTCAGTTTTCATGTTGGAGAACACTAGTACCAATAGTAACAGGTAATGCAGATATTACAGAAAGGGAAGACTTAGAACAATGATCACCACGAGGGAAAAAGTACTGAGCAAACTATTGGGATAGATGGCAGAAAATTCTCTGGGCCCTGATTGCAGACATCCTAGGTCTGAGGGGGAGTGGCAGGAGAGAGACTTAATCCATTTTTTATATTTTTTTTTATTCTCTGGATATGGGAAATGTCCCAGAGGAAAGGGAAAATGCTAATATAACACCCCTATTTAAAAAGGTAAGGAAGCAGAAAGGAAACAAAAGACTCTGTCAAGCCCCTTAAGAATCATGTATGTTTCAATGAAATCACCTCTCATTCTTCACTTTGCGCGGTTGCAGAGAGACTTCCGTACTCTATACTCCAACCCCCTGATAGAAGGGCCAACATTCCATTAGCTTTCCTGATTATCTGCTACACCTGTGTCCTAGCTTTCTGTATTACACATGTAAGTACCACAAGTCTCTTTGTATTGCAGTTTTTTGCAAATTCTCTCCATTTAAACAATAATCTGTTCATTTGTTCTGCCTTCCACAATAACAAGTTCAGTTTTCCACATTAGGTTCCATTTGACAACTTTTTACCCACTGACTAAATCTATCAATATCTCTCTAAACTGTTTATATCCCACCCCCTCACAGCCTGCCACCTTTTTTTGTGTCATCTGCAAATTTGGCTACAGTACATTCACTTCCTTCCTCCAAGTCATTTATATTGTCAAACAGTTGTGGTCCCAGCACTGGTCCCTGAGGAACTCTGCTGGTCGCTGTTCACCAGCCTGAAAAAGTATCCCTGTTTCTGACTATTAGCCAATTCTCTATCCATGCCAATATACTACCCCCAGCATCATGGGCTCTTACCTTATAACTTAACCTTTTGCACAATATCTTGTTGAATGCCTTCTACAAGTCCAAATGCACATCTACTGGTTCACTCTACACACTACGGTTGAGACATTCTTGAAAAACTCCAATAAATTAGACACTATTTCACTTTCATGAAGCCATACTGACTCTGCTTGATTATGCTGGTTTTTCCAAATGTTCTGCTATTACTTCCTTAATAATGAATTCCAATACTTTTCCAACAACAGATGTTAGTCTAATTGGGCTTCGGTTATCCGCTTTTTGCGTTCCTCTCTTTCTGAACAGGGAGGTTTAGGATAAGGGGTAGCAGATTTAAAACAGAGAGGAGGACAAATTACTTCTCTCAAAATGTCACGAATCTATGAAATTGACTACCCCACGATGGGTTAGTTGTCAAGACACGGAGTAAATCTAAGGATGTGATAGATGTATTTTTAATTAGCAATGGGTTAAAGAATTATAGAAAACATGCAGGAAAGTGGAGCGGATGCTAAGTTGATGGCTGAGCAGGCTCAAGGGGCTGAATTACCCACACTTGCTCCTAGATCTTATGTTCCTAACTGCAGTAACTAATTCCAATTAATAATGTAACACTGCCTCCTCATTTACATCCTTCACTGTTCCGCCTGAAAATACTACATCCCAGAATGTTGAGTTATTAACTGTTGATCTTGCTTAAATACCAAAGAACAATTAAAACAAAATGTACATGTAAAATGGACTAAAAGCATCCACAGAAATGACTGTTCCTAAAGGAGCACCTTATTACATTGTATGCACAGCGTCCATTTCGCAACCTGGTCTCCCAAAAAATCTTCCACCCTTTACAATCAGAGATCAGAAATTCTGGGACCTGACTGGGTTTCAAAGGCCTCAGGATTAAACTCTGTAGCTCCTCTAACATCTCCACTTCAGCTCAAACTGATACATCTTCAGGATTAAACCCACCAGCTCCTCCTCCACCTCCATTCCAGGACAAACTAATTCAACAGATGCTTTCAAAATAGAACTGGAAAAACACCTGAAATAAAAAAAAATTGTTGGGGTGCAATGAAGGGAAGCGTAATGAAATTCACTGATATGCTCTGACAGAGAGCCAGGGGCACCATGTGTGAAATGGCCTTCTTCTGTTCTGTAATCAATCCTTAATTTTGTGTAAAAGGATCTAAACTGGAGACAGGGAGTAAACCTCTGGAAGCAACACTGCCCTACTGCAAACCGACCTTAATTGGTCTGTCTGTGTTTCTAGATTGTTCTGTGAACAACCTTTGGAATAACACAAGGAAAATACTGTAGATGCCGGACATCTGAAACAAAAAAAAAACGAAATACTAGAAAGCTCAGCAGCTCGGGTTGTATTTGTACAGAAGGCAACAGAGTTGACATTCAGGGACTTGCAGAATGAATATGGTGAATGAAAATAATACAGAATATGATAGTTTACATCAGATCAGCAGGGAATATAAATGATTGTCAGCTCAGGAAAATTCCTAAGCATGAGAAGGTAAAGGTGCTGAATCAGTAGCACATAGTCAGGAGGTGGACAGCAATGGAAACCTCAATTAGTCATATTTGGTAACAATAACAATACCAGACAAGGTTAAAATACACCTTGTATTAAAAGCAAAGAGATGATCAGGATGAGAGGTGTAAAACAAAAGATTGGACATAGATTCACATCCAGTGTAAAAGACTTACAACAGGCCCAGAGTAATATTTCGAGAACATCACACAAAAAGCTGTAAATTGAGGATGGATGCTCAATAGTACTCACTTCTGAAACAATTTCACCGATTTCTCCTGCTGGATGTCACAGCTGGAAAAGTAGCAGAAGAATGGTAGTAAGAGAAAAATCCCCCAAGTTTTCAAAAATCTTCAGCTCCCTGTAAAGTGTGATATCAAAAATCATAAACGTCAATTAAATTTGAAATTCAGAGAAGACAAACGTTTCTCTTGGCTGGAGTTTGCCACGTATAAATTTTTGCTTTTTAAAGCCTAGTGAAAGGAATTTCCAAAATCCATCACTGTCATACCAAACTGGATATTCACAACATGATTTGAGGGACAAGAAATTTTAATTGTAAGCTTAGGTAGGAGACACTGTGGCAGATGGGAGATTTGAGAGATAAGTTCAAATTTAGAATATATTTACATACTGAACACAATCTAAGTCGCAGGGTGAAGTTGTGTTGCTGTTACATGACCCTTTGCCCAGAGTGACCAGTGAAGTGCTTTGTAATGCCCTGAGGTTGTGAGTGATGTTATATCAATGCAAGTTTTTCAGGGTTTGTTTCTTTTTTTTTGAAGTTGACAACAATCCTCACTATCCCAGCGTTAGTCTTCTTTGGAGATTTGATCTTACGCACAATCTCAGATCATTTTGCTTGACCAAGAGGAGGAACGGTCCCCTGACTAATCCTGAAGGACACAACTGTTTACATTCCTAGGTCTGTATATACAACTCAGCAGTATAACCATTCCATCCATTAACATCACATGTCCTCTAACACACTTTATTGACATTATGTGTCTTTTTAGAAATGATGTACTTCAGTCACTGTTCCGAATTACGTTCTGAACTTCCAAAACAATTACCTTCAAAACAACTGACCAAAATCCATATGCCTCTACTTAACAATTCAAATCCCAAGGATAATATATGTTATACACCTTTTATTACACCTAACTAATACATCTTTCTCATTAACTTAAAAACAATTCAAGCACCAGAACTATCTCATCTTTCACCATGGTCTGAGTAGCATCTTCTTCCTTTGGAAATCCAGATATCAAGACATCATTTCACACCCCAGCTATGCCTCCTGCATAAATTCCATATTTGGTCCCTACCTGACCTTACTCCTCCTTTCACCACACTTCAATGGTTAATATCTATAAAAGAGCTTGGTATTCACTTTTAATGTAACTGCCAATTTCATTTTGCAATCCCGTATTCCTTTTCTATCTCTTTTTCCACCTCCCCTTTAAACCTTTATATTCAGCCTGGTTCTCAACTGTATTTTCTCCATCACACCTCCAATAAGTACACTTTTTAAAAAATTTGTTTGCCATCCATGAAGCTCTGGTTTCCTTTGTCCTACTTTTTTACTTTGTCTGAAATATCTCTTTTTCAAAAAGACAGCCAATTGTTCAGTTACAATTTTCCATGTCAACATTTGACTTGGGTTGTTCTTACTTCCTTGAAGTTAAAACAATTGAGTAATACAGCACAGAATAAGTCTTTGGCCCATCAAGTTGGTGAAGGCAAAGCGACACTATATCTGCATCAGTACCAGTTTCCAACACTAGACCTTGAATGTCATGATACGTCAAGTGCTCATCCAAGTACTGTTAATCATTGTCAGGTTACCTTGGTCAATTGACCTTCGAGGCTGTGCATTTGAGACCCTCAGAATCCTCTGCGTGAAATTTGTTTTCCTCAAATCCCCTCTTATTCTCTTATCTTGCACATTAAAATTACGCCTCCTTATTAATAACCCTTTGACTAAAGGGTCTCAGTTGGCTTTGATGATTTAATTATTTGTACATTCATTGTTCAACATTATTTTCATAATTGCCAGCCTAAATTGTAAGACAGAATGATCACCAACCCTGACACTTGATCCCCCTCATTTTCAAGGACCAGGTCCAATACTGCCTCCTTTCTCACTGGACAGAAAACACATTCTGGGTCAAAATACTGAAACTCCCACCTTAACAGAATGATATGTCTTCCCACGCCAAATGGATTGCAGCAATTCAAGAAAGCATCTCTTCACAACATTTTCTAATTCTGTTCAGGATGAGCGATAAAAGATGACAGAGCCAGCAAGGCCCAGATCCTCTGTATAGAATATTTTCCTGCAAACAGTTTCCCAACTCTTGCCCTTCTCTGTCCTTTATGCAAGAACTGCTACAGTGTAATTTTCTTCCTGATTTTAATGTATTGCTAGACCCAATCCAAGTCATTGCTAGCAAGGTAGGAATGGCGGTATGGAGCTGGAGGAACTCAGCAAGCCAGGCAGCATCAGAGCAGCAGGAAAGTTGACGTTCGGGTCGGAACCTGAAAAATGATCCCGACCTGAAACGTCAACTTTCCTGCTCCTCTGATGCTGTCTGGCCTGCTGTATTCCTCCAGCTCCACATTGTGTTATCTCTGACTCTAGCATCTGCAGTTCTTAATATCTCAGATTAGGAATGGCGGCATCTTTAACCGCCTTCCCCAGCGGTGACGATATCCTGGCCGCCGGAGAGCGGTGCGCATGCACAATAAATCATGACAATAGGCAGAGACGCCGTTTATTTTCTCAACTGTAGGAGATGAGGATGGGAGACAGCGGAGTGAGCGCTGCAGCCGATGGGAGATCGAAAAAAGTTCATAGACACTTATTAAATACCTCAAACTCAAGTAACAACCTGCAAGTCCCGGATTTACAAACCTGGCGCTTTTCCCCGGGAAGAACTTCAAATTAACGGCTGCCATCTTGGATCCGCGATGACGAGCGCACTTGCGTCTCAGCGTCGTGACGCGGCTTGAGGACGGGGCTTCAGGTTCACTGGTTCTAACTGGGTCCTGGTGAGCAGGTAGTGACATTCAACCTGATAGTTGCCACAATTGCTGGGTACCTTGAGAATGGAGTGTCTCAGACTTTGGAAATAATATTCTGGCTTAGGTCGGAAAGGTCCCTTTGCTTTTCTGGAAACTTTGTTACTAATTTTGACTTCATTTGGTTGGATTAGTTTTTTTTGGGATAACAGGATGGAAATGAATGTTCCAGATAGACTGGAATTGTCCGGCCTGAATTTCTATTGTGGACTGATAGTGAGGGCTTTTGTAATCTCCTTTTACAACGTTCTGGCAGAGGATTGCTGACTGGAAATCCAAACTAAGCACCACATCTATATCTGACAGAGTCACTCGATTCATTCAAACCTGAATATCATCAGTCTCTGAATGTTGAATGAGAAATGGGTGACATGGTTTCAGTTCTGTCTAAAAGAAACAAGATTAAATGTCAGTATGTCTGGAAAAGCAACAACACAAACAGACCTGAGCAAGAGTGTTCAGTTACACATCCTGAAAAAGAAGTCACAGCATTTACAGCAGAGAGAACTGTACACATGGGGATCAAATAATCATCCAGACTGGATAGACACAAGGACACCTTTGCCGTGGAGAAACCATGGAAATGTAATGATTTTGGGAAAGGATTCAATTACCCATCTCAACTGGAAGTTCATAGGTGCAATCACACTGGGGAGAGGTCATTCACCTGCTCTGTGAATGGGAAGGGATTCACTCATCCATCTGGTCTACTATATCGCCAGTGGATTCACATTAGGGAGCGGCTGTAATCCTGGACTGTGTGGGGGAAGGGATTCATTAATTCATCCAATCTTCTGATACACCAGCAAATTCACACAGGAGATAGACCTTTCATCTGCTCTGTTGGTGGGAAAAGATTTACTTGTTCATGTAACCTTCTGACTCATCAGCAAGTTCACACTGGAGAGAGGCCATTCACCTGTTCCATTGTGTGAAAAAGGGATTTAATCATCCTTCTAGCCTGCAGCCACCAGACGATTCACACCTGGGAAGAGTCTGTTTACCTGCTCCGAATATGGGGAAGAATTTTCTCACTCATCCTCCATGGTGAAACACCAGCAAGCTCTGGGAAGAGGCCATTTACCTGTACTGTGTGTGGCAAGGGATTCACTCAGTCATCTCATCTGCTAACACACCAGCAAATTCACAAGCATCTGCAAGATTTGTATTTCAGCAGATGCTGTTAATCATATCCAGGATTGAAGTATGTTCATCCTGATTATCCCGATTTGTTGATGAGGTTTTACATTCTGGAGAAGTGTGAAATAATACCTTTGGAGACATTCTTGGAATCTTTGTCTTTCCCACCTGAGTGTTTAATGTCAGAATGTTGTCTGGAGTCTCAAAAGGACAATCTGGGAGCAGGAACATATGTCAAAAATAGCTCTTCAACCTTAACACAGTCCATCAGTGTCATGCTCACAGGGACTTTTGGTTTTTCTTGTTTCGCTTCACTGATAGCTAAGTCCTCATGTTTAATGCTAAGGTGCATAATCAGTTTGGCACAGTCACTCTCTTCCACCGTTCAGAGATTCTAGTGAACCGTTTTCCAACTGTGTTCATAGTCAGAAAGAATGGCAGTGAATGTTGGAAATGTGTTGAAAAATCAGAGATTGGTGTCAAACTGTGGTCTGTCTCATAACATAAAATAGGTCTGATCACATAGATTTGAGTGTTTGCAATCTATTCCTGACTGAAAATGAAATGGCAGAATTAAGTTTCCACTCTGAAAATGGTACTTGATAATTTCCAAACATTTGGACCAGTTTGTGTTACAATTTTGATTTATTGACCAGAAACCCATTTAAAATACTTCAGTTAAAATCTGTAACAACATCGCAGTTGGAGGAGTTTACTTGCATCTCTGAGCTTCTTTGACAGTGATAATACTTTTATTCCCAGATGAAGAAGAACCCACATAGTGTCCAAGAATTTCCCCTTGAATTGATATGTGTTTCCCACACACATCCTTCTAAATATTTCTCACCCCTACTGATGACTTAATATGAGCTGTCATGCATTCCCTGAAAGGCTGATGCAAACAGATTCAAAAGTAACTATATTTGAAAAGGAAGCATTGTAAGAGCTTTGGAGAAAGATTGCAAAACTGCAACTACTGGACGATTGCTTCAAATAGCTGACTTAATGGGCAAAAGGGACTTGTATTTCTTTCAAATTCCATTAGTCTAGGAATTTTTCTCCATTTTTCCAACTTCCTCCATTTTTTGCAGCAGCAGCGGGAGCGGTGAGAGTGAGGACCAGGAGGCTGCCGGGAGATAAGTTTCCCAGTTAAAAACTTGCCTCGTGCAATCAGCGGCCTCCATTTTTTGCAGAAGCAGCGGGAGCAGCGAGAGCGAGGACCAGGGGGCTGCCGGGAGGTAAGTTCTTCATTTCGGCAGCGGAGCTGAGTGGGAGCAGTCAAATTACGCTCTGGGAAGGTGAGTGAACGGATATATTTGGGTAGTGGCTACGTGTCAGGGACATGGCTGATGTCCCTGACTCCTACCGGTGCAAGAAGTGTGTCCAGCTGCAGCTCTTGTTAGACTGCATGACGGCTCTGGAACTACGGATGGACTCACTTTGGAGTATCCGCGATGCTGAGGAAGTCGTGGATAGCACGTTCAGCAAATTGGTCACACCACAGATTAGGATTGCTGAGGGAGAAGGGGAATGGGTGACCAAAAGGCAGAAAAAAAAAAAGCAGGAAGGCAGTGCAGGTGTCCCCTGTGGTCATCTCCCTCCAAAAACAGGTATACCGTTTTGGATACTGTTGGGGGAGATGGCTCACCAGGGGAAGGCAGCAGTAGCCAGGTTCATGGCACCGTGGCTGGCTCTGCTGCACAGAAGGGCGGGAAAAAGAGTGGAAGAGCTATAGTCATAAGGGATTCGATTGTAAGGGGAGTAGATAGGCGGTTCTGTGGTCAAAAACGAGACTCCCGAATGGTATGTTGCCTCCCAGGTGCACAGGTCAGGGATGTCTCAGATCGACTGCAGGACATTCTGAAGGGGGAAGGTGAACAGCCAGCTGTCGTGGTGCATATAGGCATGAATGATAGGATCTCATCCCATTTTTAACCTACAAGCAGAATTTAGGGAGTTAGGAGCCAAGCTAAAAAGTAGGACCTCAGAAGTAGTAATCTCAGGATTGCTACCAGTGCCACGTGCTATTCAGAGTAGAAATGAAAGAATAGGCAGGATAAAATGAGTGACTTGAGAGATGGTGCAGGAGGGAGGGGTTCAGATTTTTTGGGAAATTGGGACCGGTTCTGGGGGAGGTGGGACTACTACAAATTGGACGGTCTACACCTGGGCAGGACTGGAACCAATGTCCTAGGGGGTGCTTTTGCTAACGCTGTTGGGGAGGGTTTAAACTAATGTGGCAGGGGGTTGGGAACCAAATGAGAAGGTTAGTGGACAGTAAGGAGGTAGTAACTAAAGCCTGTAAGGAACTAGATAATGAAGTCAGTGTGACTAAGGGGAAGAGTAGGCAGAGAGCAGACGATGAACGCAAAGGGACAGGTGGTCTGAAGTGCATTTGTTTTAATGCGAGAAGTGTAGTAGGTAAGGCAGATGAACTTAGGACTTGGATTAGTACCTGGGAGTATGATGTTATTGCTATTACTGAGCCTTGGTTGAGGGAAGGGCAAGATTGGCAACTATATATCCTGGGATATAGATGCTTCAGGCGGGATAAAGAGGGAGGTAAAAGGGGTGGAGGAGTTGCATTACTGGTCAAAGAGGATATCACAGCTGTGCTGAAGGAGGGCACTATGGAGGACTCGAGCAGTGAGGCAATATGGGCAGAGCTCAGAAATAGAAAGAGTGCGGTAACAATGTTGGGGCTGTATGACAGGCCTCCAACAGTGAGCGTGAGATAGAGGTACAAATATGTAGACAGATTATGGAAAAATGTAGAAGCGACAGGGTGGTGGTGATGGGAGATTTTAAATTTTCCCAACATTGACTCGGATTCACTTAGTGTTAGGGGTTTAGATGGAGCAGAATTTGTAAGGAGCATCTAGGAGGGTTTTATGGAGCAGTATGTAAGTAGTCCAACTCGGGAAGGGGCCATACTGGACCTGGTGTCGGGGAATGAGCCTGGCCAGGTGGTTGAAGTTTCAGGAGGGGGTTACTGTGGGAATAGCGATCACAATTCCGTAAGTTTCAGAATACTCATGGAGAAAGACGAGAGTGGTTCTAAAGGATGAATGCTAAATTGGGGGAAGGCCAACTATAGCAAGATTCAGCAGGAGCTGGGGAATATAGATTGGGAGCAGCTGTTTGAGGGTAAATCCACATTTGATATGTGGGAGGCTTTTAAAAAGAGATGTTGATCAGAGAGCAGGACAGACATGTCCCTGTGAAAATGAGGGATAAAAAGGGCAAGATCAGGGAACCATGAATGATAGGTGAAATTGAGAGACTAGCAAAGAGGAAAAAGGAAGCATACATAAGGTCTGGGCGACTGAAAACAGACGAAGCTGTCGAAGAATATCAGGAAATTAAGACCAATCTGAAACGAGGAATTAAGAGGGTTAAAAGGGGTCATGAAATATCTTTAGGAAACAGGGTTAAGGAAAATCCCAAAGCCTTTTATTCGTACATAAGGCGCAAGAGGGTAACGAGAGAAAGGGTTGGCCCATTCAAGGACAAAGGAGGGAAGTTATGCGAGGAGTCAGAGAAAAAATGAGTCAGATTCTTAATGAGTACTTTGCATCAGTATTCACTGAGGAGAGGGACATGACGGATGTTGAGGTTAAGGATAGATGTTTGATTACTCTAGGTCAAGTCGGCATAAGGAGGGGTGGGGGGAAGTGTTGGGTATTCTAAAAGGCATTAGAGTGGACAAGTCGCCAGGTCCGGATGGGATCTATTCCAGGTTACTGAGGGAAGCGAGAGAGGAAATAGCTGGGGCCTTAACATATACCTTTGCAGCATCCTGGAGCACGGGGGAGGTCCCGGAGGACTGGAGAATTGCTAATGTTGTCCCCTTGTTTAAGAAGGGTAGCAAGGATAATCAGGTAATTATAGACCGGTGAGCCTGACGTCAGTGGTAGGGAAGCTGCTGGAGAAGATACTGAGGGATAGGATCTATTTACATTTGGAAGAAAATGGGCTGATTCGTGATAGGCAGTATGGTTTTGTGCAGGGAAGGACATGTCTTACCAACTTGATAGAATTCTTTGAGGAAGTGACAAAGTTGATAGATGAGGGAAGGGCTGTAGATGTCATATACATGGTGTTTGATAAGGTTCCCCATGGTAGGCTGATGGAGAAAGTGAAGTGGCATAGGGTCCAGTGTGTACACCTAGGTGGATAGAGAACTGGCTGGGCAACAGGAGACAGTAGTGGAAGGGAGTTTCTCAAAATGGAGAACTGTGACCAGT